GCCCACCCCGGGGGCGGGCTGGAGACCACTCTGCCGGCGCCCGCCCCCCCCACCCGAGGCTGCCCAGTCGGCGCCACCTGCCGGCCCCTGGAAGGAGGGCGAGGGCGGCGCGGGAGGGCGGCTTGGCCACTGCCGGCCTGCTGCTTCCCGGGTGGAGGGAAGCGGACCCGCCTCCCCCCCCAGCCCCTCCCCGCACAGCTGCCGGGCCCGAGAGGGATTCCCCTGCCCGCGCGCCGCCCTCCGGAGTCAGGGGAGCAGAAGCGCCCGCCCGCGGCCCCGCAGGGGACAGAGAGTGACGAGCGCCGCGGAGACAAAGGCGCGGGCTGCAGAGCACGTGGCGCCGGAGCGCCCCCTGGCCGCCGAGAGGCCGGCCTCCTTCCTTCCCTCCCCCGGGAAGGCCAGTCTCGCCAGGGAAGAGCCCCAGGTGGTAGGCTGCAGCAGCGGCAGAACGCAGCGAGCGCTCAGCGGGGCACCCTTAACAACAACAACAACAACGGCTTGTTCAAGGTAGGAGCCTCCGCGTGCACCCCGCACCGGAAAGGAAGCTGTATCGAGAAGGCCGACATCTAGCTTCCTTTCCAGTGCATTTGAGCAAGGGCGGGTGTACACTGAGGCTCCTACCTTGAACCAACCTGTGTTGGTCTTAACGGTGTCCCACTGGGCTCCAAATCTGGTCTCATGATAGGAAAAGAGAGGGCCTCCAGGATAACAGGAGGGCCTGCAGTCTGAGCAAAGTGATGAAGGGACAGGGCGTCTTGGAGAACATCAATTCACCAGGTTGCCAAGTCAGAAGTGACTTAGCAGCACACACCCGCAGGCAGAGAGATTTGCACCAGGACACCAGCAGGGGGAGTACACTGCCCCAACGCTAAGCAGGGGCTGATCTTTAATGTCAACGTCCCTACTGCAGCAGAGGATCCCCCAGAGGCCCTGTACACACCTGCATCCCCATTTCCTGCAGTCTGGATGCAGCCGTCCTGCCAGCATCTGCACCCCACCCACCCTGGCACTCTCCATTCCAACAGAATCTGCGTTGCCATGCGTGCACACGGGACTCGGACTCCGAGGGACTTCTAGGCAAGGTGCAGGCCAGAGCCACCTCTGGAGGGCCCCAGATGGGGGAGCACCCCCCCCCACACAAGTGCTTTGGAAGATGCACGGGACACAGACCCAGGTCAAGCCGAGGAGCTCACAGAGACCAGCCTGACACAGCTAGTGAGGCGTGGTGGTTGCAGGAGCAGAGCAGACCAGGGACACCCCCTGCCCCATAAGCTTGCTGTGTGCCCTTGGGCTGGCTACCCACTCTCAGGGCTATTGCAAGGACAAAACAGAGGGCGGGAGGACAACAGGTGCCGCTGCCTTGAGTGTAAGCGGACTAAATAAGTAAAAAATAACAACCCAAAAACCTATCATTTATTTCCTTCCCTGGCCGCCTTTTGAGAGAAACGCAGCCAAGCCTGGCCCGCCCCTCCCAAAGAACTGCTGTGCTCCTCCATTGCAGGCCCAGCAAGCACCTCTCAGACTGGGACAGGTCAGCAGCTGCAGCCACAAGGCCGGGGCCCCCATCCAGCTACCAGCATCCTGGTCCAGAGAATGGCAAGTGCGGGACTCCAAGCCCGCCGGGCCAGCCCCCCTCTGGCCCTGCAAGCTGCAGGGGAGGCTCGGCAGGGCTCACTGGGGTGGGCTACTGCAGTCGGAAGGCACCTGGGTGCCAGGAGCTGTGGGGTGGCCCAGTGCACCCAAAGGACGTGCTGCCATACTGGACGGGCGAGGTGGGCGGAGCAGCAGCGAGTCTTCGCCTGCAACTCAAGACAGACCCCAAGGCCAAGGGGAAGAGGGAGGAGCCCACCACCCCACACCAGAATGGCAAAATGCACTCTGTGCTGTCCACTGTCCCCTGCGGCTTCCTCTCACCCTCCATGACCTCTTTGCCACTCCGAGCTTCCACAACATACACTTGCCCAAATCCACTGCCACCAGGCATGTGCCAAAAGCTCCATAACATCCCCAGCGGCCACAGGGGAGTTCCCACCAGATCTGTACCAGAAGCAACTCTGCCACTTGGCCACCATCCCGCCCCCCCCCCCCCCCCCCCTTCCCCCCCCCCCCCCCCCCCCCCCCCCCAACCAGGCAGGCTCACTCAGAGGGCAGCCGAATGGACACAATCCTGCCACCCGCCCCCAACAATGGGCATGGAGAAGTCTGCTGCTACTTGGGGAGCGGGAGGGTCGGCTGGGGCCCTGGAATCCCCCCTCAGCCTGCTAAACTACTGGCCACCTCTACCTCTGGGGACTGTGAATTCCACAATTTAATTCCTTGTGGAATGAAGTGGTATTTATTTTATCTGTTGCCTCTCTACTGCCCATCAACTTCATTGGGTGCCGCAAAGTGTAGTTTTTTGGGAAGTGGGGCCAAAAGTTACAGCCCAACCTCTTCTCCTCCCAGGGACTTTCAAGAAGATATTTGTGGAAGGATCCGTTCCAAAAAGCCTGAGATGCTCAGGGTGCCCAGCCCTGCTCAAAAGGAGTGTGTGTCGTTGGCCAGAGAGACCTTTCTGACGGGGTCCCTGTGGGGGAGAAGAGTGCAACCCACCCAGTGCCCAGGGCAGCTTCCTGGAGCCGCCACGTTCAGCTGAGAGACAGATGCAGACAAACCTCTTTCCCCACCAGCCCACGGGCTCTTCCACAGCATTCGCATAATAATCTCCCCCCCCCCGCCCGCCACCAACCCCAGACGCAGCCTTTTAGAATACTCTTTATTTGATCAAGGGGGCTGGGAGTCTCTGTGTACATCGGAATGTGTTATTTCCTAAGTCATTGTTTTACAGGGTTACAAAACCTCCTTTAAATATCACCCCTGCCCCTGTTACCTAAGGACAGAACGAAAGCCTCGTTGGGTGATGGCACTTGCTCCCCTTTTAAAAATCAGACTGACAAGGCGGGCACACGGGCGGGTCGAGAGGATTCACAGCTACAACCTACAGGACAGGGCACCCCTCCCCCACCTTCACCCAGGACACTCTGAAAAGGGTCTCCTCTGCAACCCAGCAGCGTGGGAGAGGCTGGTGACTTCTTCAGCATGCAAACGGGGCCTCACGAGACTGCCGCCCTTCCCTCCCACGGGGAGTCTGAGCCCCCCGCCCCGGCAGTTCAGATTGCATTTTGCTCCGTTCAACAGGAGGCAGCTTCCCCAGAGCCACGGAAGAGTCTTCAAGCCAAAGCCCAGAACAGGAACAGAGCTGCCTATGCTGCTGCTCTCCCCCCCCCGCCCCCGATTCCCTGGCAAGGGCTCAGCTGCGCAAGGGAAGAAAACGGCAGCAGCCAGTCGCGGTGCTCTGCCTCACTGCCGTCTCAGAGCTTGGCCACAGGTCCGGGATGGGGTGGGACAGCCACTCTCTCTCTTCCCCCCGAGCAGCACAAGAGATGCCAAGGAGTGGATGGGGGAAGAGACCTGCCACGGGGAGGAGTGTGCCAAGGCCCAGGGCGAAGGGGGCGATGCCAGAGAAGCAAGCAGCCTCTCCCTCCCTCCCTCCCTGGCTCTGACTTTGAAAATGTAAGCGGGAAAACTAACATGTCAAGAGTCCCCGGCCACGGAAAGAGCTGCGGCCCATTCCCAGAAGCCCCAGCCTCAAAGTCTTCCGTGCCGCTTCGTTGTAGAGAAGGCTACAGGATCTCGTACTTGTCCACGAGGAAGGTGGTCTCGGTGGAGAACCTCACGGGGGTGTTCCCATCTACCTGGGTCACTTTGGTAACCTGCAGAGAGGAGAAGGGCGCAGGGTGAGCTGGGATGAAGCACAACGCCAGAACAGCTCACGCGGGCACACTGTGGGCCAAGACCACGGGGCACCATTTGCTGACGTGGAGGAGACTCCCGCCAGTGCCAGAGAGCTGGTCTCGAGAAGTGCCACGAGATGGGGGTGAAGGCCCAATGCAAGCTTTGTGCCCTGCTACGTGTCCTGACAACCCAAAGCAGGTCGAGATGGCGCCCTCCACTCAGCACGGGCCTTGCCAGCCCAAAGGCCTCTGTCTGACTTTTGCCACTTTCAAATAAAAGAATTCCCAGGCACAGGAACCAGTTGCCAAGACCTTGAGGTTACTGCTCCTGAGCTAGATAGAAAAACGGTCTGACTCCAGACAAGACTGCTCCTGGCTTCCCGGAACCCCCCCCCCCAACTTCCAAAATGGAGAGAACGGCTGCCCGGGGGGTGGGGTGGGGGGGTGGGCAGGCCTCCGGCCTCACCTGGATGCTGCAGTAGTTCTTCTTGGAGAGGAAGGAGAGGCGCACAGGGAAGAAGTCGTTGGGCTGCCCAGCGATGCTGAACTCCAGGCTGCCGCTCTTGTTTTTGGCATCAATCACAGGCAGACACCACTCGAGGAGGTTCCTCCGGCTATCGTGGCGATACTCGCCGTCGATTTCTCTGATCACTGGCGTGCCCACGCCCGACCTGCATCAGAGGCCACAGGTGACTCCCAGATCACACCCCCCGCCCCGTGCATCGGGAAGCGCATATGGCCCGGAGCCAGGGGTCAGCGGGCTGGGGAGGGGGAGCAGACTGGCACCCTAGTGGGGGCCCAAGAGGTCCACAAGACTCACGGCAAAGGAATCGCGATCACCACGTCGTTCAGCTCCAGGCTGTCCTCCTGCAGCTCATACTCGATGTTGACATCGCAGCCACTGCCGCTCTCAGACGGCCAGCAGTTAACTAAGGCAAAAAGACACAGGCACGCGAGTGACTCACCTGTGACACACTCCAAAAGGGAGACTCTGCCCAACTCCCCCCCCTCTCTATCTGCTCAAGGAGATCCCCCGGGCAGCCCCAGCGGCACTCACTCGTCAACGGAATGAAGGACTCTTCCGTGGTCTGCAGCCGCCACTTCTCAGGGTTCTTCAAGCCAATCAAGGACTCGGTAGTAAAAAGCTTCTTGTCAACATTGGGGTGAGTCTGAAAGGAAGAACGAAAGGGAAGCCATCCGTCCCAGAAGCCCCAGAGCAAGGAGTCAAAAGCCTTCTGTCATCTCTGGGCTTCCCATAATCAGCTCGATGGCTTCTGGACACCAAGCAGGGGCCACCAAGCCAGGCCCAGGAGACACCTCCTCTGGGAGCCGCCGGCAACCACCACCAACCTGGTGCTCTAACCACTTTTGTAAGACGAGAGTAAGGCTACAAAGAGGCACATTCTTCCCTCCTCTCTGGTGCACACGAGCACTAACCAATCCACCCGCCGGCCAAAGACCATGGATCTAACTCTGGCTCCGCTCCTGGCAACCTGGGGGCAAACAGCCAGGGCCCTGTGCTCGGGACGGGTGTCAAGCCGTTGCCTGCAGCGGAAACCATAGTGGCTCTCAGTGCCTCCACGCTGGCAACAGCCAGGCCAGTCATACCTGCAGCTGCACACCCTTCTTGTCCTCATTCTCCACATGGATCCGAATGCGGGCAAACTTTTCATCCTGGATCCGCAGCATAATCATGCCGTGTAGCTCCATGTTCTGCAGTCCCCCATCACGGCCACAAGTCAGTGAGATTTTCTCCTCGATTTTCATGTGCACACTGGAGAAAGGACAGCAACACAAGGGCTGTGCATCTCTGTTCTCTACGAAGGCAAGCTCCACCAACCTGGAAGGCACCAGTCAACCCCAGGGGACTCCTGGCTACTGCCCTGGGGCACTATCAACTAGTACCTACACTTACAATCCTCATCATGGCATCAGTTTGTCTGCAATCCAGCTTTCTCCACAACACAAATCATCTCATTCTAAAAGCCAAGATCTACATACCCAAACATCGCTCTGCATAGAATTAGGCAAAAATCAGAAACAATCCCTGCTGGAAGACACGTGCTTAGGGAAGAAAAACAAAAACTGACAGATGGGGCTGGAGGATGCCCCCACCGTCGCCCAGAAGCACACAACAGACTTCCCAAAGGCACAACCGTCTTCCACTTACCTCTCCGTATTTACGGGCGGAGCAAACACTGTGGCTGCTTCAGAGGATCGCTTGCCTACTGAAGAGGTTATTATGTTTTCTCCTTCTGATTTTAACTTGTCCACAAAGTTATCAACTTCTTTCCCTTTGGCGCCCAGCTTGAGTGCCTTGTTTGATCCAGACGGCCTAACAAAGAAGTGTGAGGCTCTTAGTTTAACAATCACATCAGTCACCCACAGGGCTCCTCTGAGCAGAGCACACAAGCAGAGCCCCTGAGGCCCCTCCGGCAGAGGCAGAGCCCCAAGGCGTTTGCATCTGAAGAGATCGGCTAACACAAACCGCAGCTCAGAAACAGATGTTCCCTTCACTGCCCACACAACACACCCCAGTTTGACACCTCCAGGTATACCCCCCCGCCGAAGAAAAAAACTACCCAGACGCGCACGACAACAAAGCTGACCTGGTTGGTGTAGGAGTCACTTTTGGTTTCTCTGTCTCAACTATGGTGTCTGTGATCATGGCAGCCGTGGTGCCTCCTGACAGAGCTGTACTCCCAAAGCCACCGAAGCCAGGCGCTTTCGTGCCCCGTCGCTCGGCATCCCTGCGTGCCTGTTGCAACTCCTTGGCTTTTCGACGCATTTCAGCCTTAGCCTCACGTTCTTGTGTCTAAGGAAGAATGGCGTATACTATCAGTTCTTAAAGGTACATGCAGTGCAACAAATTAAGGCCCCTGATCCCCTAACCATGTCGATCCTCCTGGACCAGAGCAGTGATCCGCGCAGTCCAGCCTGGACGACCAGCACACAGGGGATCAGAGACCCTACAGAGGAAAGCGCCGGTGTAAATGGAACACAGCAGACTTGGGAAGGTCTTGTGTTCACCTCACGGACAGCTCTGAAGACCTTCTCCTCGTGCGAATCCATCTCTGTGAAGGTGCGGATCTGGGCCAGGTTGACGTTCTCCCGGTACCCGAGGGCAACTATCTCATCAAAGGCAAAGATTAGATCAAAGCAGTGATCAGAAATCTCATTCTCTTCCAATGCTCTGCAGTATTCAGGTATCTGAATGGAATCAAGAAATGAAACACTTCTTGAGAAAATGAAAGAGCGAACGTTTATATCTTCCTTTCTTTTTACTCCACCTTTTCCCACAGTGAAATTAATGACATCTCAGAAAACATAATGTTTAACAGGTATACTAGTGTAATCCACAGATTGGACAACCGAAATGGCCTCTGCGTGAAGCTGCCTTTGCAAACGCATGGGAACCTTCAGGTAATACCCAACTGTTTCAACGGGAGCCGGCACAGAGTGTCTAGCTATGTGTCATCGAAGGCTTTCACAGCCGGAGTTCATTAGTTGCTGTAGATTTTCCAAGCTGGGTGGCCGTGGTCTTGGCATTGTAGGACCTGACGTTTATTTTATTTTATTTATTTAACTTTCGACTTGCTACCCCGCTCAAACCCCCCACAGGGGGTCTCTGAGCGGCTCTACAGTTAACTGTTATCCCTTACCTAAGGCCACATATATATGCAGGGGTGGGGACTGTCCTAACAGCACCCAGTGGAGGGACGTTCTGGGACAGCTTGTTGCTTGTCGGCACGGCTTCTACTGACTTCTTTCCTCCGGTGGTGGTACAGTAACTGTGACTGGCATCATCAGAGGTATAATTCAGAAATTGGGAGTACTCTCTATGCCCTGACACAGAGAGTACTCCCGCTTTCTGAGTTACACCTTTGAGGACACCAGTCACAGTTGCTGGCAAAACGTCAGGTCCTACAGTGCCACACAGCCACTAATGCCTAGCGATGGTCTGGGTTGGCCCAGGTTCAGAGGCCCCCTCTGCCGCGGAAGGCTGCTGAGTAACCTTAGACCAGCTACTCTCCCCACCTAAACGACTTCATTGAGCTAGCGTGACCATAGAGTGCTGTAAGCACTCAGCAAGAGGAGAAGCAGGGGGTAGCCGTCTGGATAAGCCTGGAGGAGCCAGCTGCTGGGCACATATGAACGGGAGTGTTGGAGAGAAGAGCTTGGGAGTGCCATGCAGGGAACCCAGGAGGATGGATGGATGGATGGATGGACGGCGCCCGCCCCCCCCCCACCGCCCCGGGCCCCCGCGGGGGGGGGGCTGGCTCACCACCCGTGAGAAGAGGCGGAGGGTCTCGAGGTCCTCGAGGATGTTGCTGTTCTTGGTGGTGATGAGGACCATGTAGAGCTTCTCCATGGGCTGGTAGACGTAGCGGACGCTCTCCGTCTCCACGAAGGTGTGCTGCTTGCCCGTGTTCATCAGCTTGGGGAAGGCGGCCAGGAGCCCCTCGATGCGCGTCCGCGTCATCTCCACGAACTGCCGCGAGACGATGGCCTTGCCCGCCTTCGTGCACACGGCGGCCGCCAGCAGCACCTGCCCCCGGGGGAGGGAGGGAGGGAGAGTCAGGCGGCCACACCGCCAGCCCCGGCCCGGCCCCCTCCCTCCCG